TTTACATGACAATAAAATACATGAAAAATGATTGGTATACTCTCCGATTTAATCATTAAAAATAGAATATAAATATAATCAATTTAGTCAGTTTTTATATCCTGTGTGTATAATTGTATCTTTAAATTTATCTGTTTTTAATTTCAGACTAAAAAATATAATATAAATATAATAATTTTTTAATGATTAAATTAGAAAGTGTTTTTAAGGGTGTTGAACCGAAAGGTATACCAATCACTGTCCTAAAATACATACCCAAATAAAGAAAAAAAATTAGAAGATGGTTTTGATTACAATTAATTTCTTTTGTTGAAGGTAATAAATTGTGTTAAATTATATGAATTGATCTGTACATAGTCAAATTTTTTATATGCATCGTATCTTTAAGATTGTGATGTTGATTTAGATTTAGAAGTTTTCCTTGTGAAATTGGAACCTCGTTGATGATTCTAAGCTAAATTCTTTGCACAGTTTCTCTAATGGTTTTGTGAGGGCAGCACTTCCACAATAGAACACACCTGCAAAAATCACAAAATATACAACAAACCTAAGTACAAAATATATATACGTAAAAAAATATAATACAATTCAAATTATAGTAAACTATATTATATTAACTATTAGATGAAGTTGGGTCTTTAATATTAAGGCTTTACCCAATTTAACATTTCATATTTTATAATTCAGATGACAAAATAAATTCTTATATATATATATATATATGTCTTTGAAGGGTTTTTAATGAATGAATCATATACCTATTCGAGAAGTTTGATGGGTATTAGCTAATCCAGAGAAAACTTTTCTCCAGTTTGGTCTAGCAAAATGCGTTGTTATCTGTTAAAGGTTTCATGTCAGATGAAATGCCTCAGAGAAAAAATGAGTTTTTTGGGATACCATACAAAGATGAATTACCCGACTTTCTGAGACAATATCAACTCCATTCTTAGCTTGTTGAATCTTCTGCACCATTTGTATCAGTGCTGACCTTGCATCTCCTTCTTCATACACGCTAGTTAAGTAGTTATGCATCTCTATCACTTTCTGCAACATCCCAAAAGGCCAAATTCAGATCAAAGAATAACGAAGATGAAGAAGAGATTTTTCGGTTTAAATTTGAGATTCTCACGTTCTTATCAAATTCTGCAATGTCATTCATGACACCTTTGAACCACTCAAAGGAGCCTTGTTCTCTAGTTACCCAATAAAAGTAGGCTCTTTCAGGGTACCTTTTGTCGGTGTCTTGCTCGGTAAAGGTGCTTACAAATTGTTGATCCTGCAATAGGAGTGTAGGTCTTGATTTAATTTTAAAACAACATTGATGATATGTTTTCTAGAAAATTGGTAATTCATTATTTTCCGTTTAATTCACAGTGTTGTTGTTGTTTTCTTTTTTTTTTTTTTGGCAAAATGATTTAACTCACAGTTAAGGGCCTTCCTGGCTTGATATGGTTTAGCAAATCTTTGATGATGCTAATGAAAGGAGTTGCCCCAATTCCTAAGCCGATTAGTAAGAGAATGTCATACTTCTTGTAATCTTGAGCTGGTGCTCCATATGGTCCCTTGATGAAGATCTGTGGAAACCTAAAAACAAAAATAAGCTTAAGAAAAAGCCACAACAATAAAGGAACTTGAAATCAACTTGCCTTACATTGCTTGTGATTCTTCTGCAATATCATTTTTATTCGAGTTTGGTTTAGCTCTAGTTTCCATTCTCATTAGGTTTCCTCTTTTTGGTACTACAGTTGGAGGCTCACATACCTGCATATCTTTGAGTTGGATGGCATAAAAGGAAAAGAAAAAAGTGAATGAAACATAAATATGTTGGATTTGGATCACCTTTGCAAATATGTTTTTCAGTTCTGTAGTCCAGTCTCCAAGGGTTCGAATATGGACACTTAAATAGTCATCTTTTGGTGCAGAAGTGATTGAGAAGGGATGCCTGCAAATACATCGGAAAAATAAACACAATTAGAACCAAAATCAGTATGGCAGGGATGATTTTTTCCTGAGAAGGGGAAGAAGAAGTGTTTGTTTCTGCATACCATTCAAAACCTGATATATTGGGACACTTGACAAATAGATACATTCCACTTTTGTACTTAAATCCTAGAGGCTTTGACATATATAGTGCGAGAACATTTCCTGTATATATCACTGCCTGCAATCTCCAAAAGAACTAGATGAATATGATTCATTACCAAGGATTTAGGACTACCTAGAGAAGAGATTGAAAACAAATGCTTTTGCATACCTTAATAACATCTACGTGATGTTTCTGTTCTTGAAATGTTGTCAATAATCTCTCATTTGCATATAATAACATTGGAACAATAACATACATCCATGTCTGGAAAGGATTTGCGGAGTTATTAATAAGTTGTAATTGGGGATAATGTTGGATAATTAACTTATATTTATGGCTTCCTACCGTCTTTAAGTACCAAGGCTTTGGAAGAATAAGGAAGTAACCGTGCATGATCAAAAGCATATAAGCCAAGATTAACAAATGGTGTGCATACCAGAAGGCATTAAAGCCAGCCAAATTGTTAAATGGCCTTGGTAACTTAATCACATTCCTTCTGAAAGAATGTGTCGCAAGTGTGAATGAAAATCCCATTATGATGATCATAAGCACCCCGGTAATGCCTACAGTGTTATTCACTAGATCCCCGTAAGTTGGTTGCTTGTAGCCGAAGACAGGACCAAGAAATGCCATGAATTTGTCCCTAGGACATGAAGAGAGTTTTGGATAATTGCAGGCAAGGTGCATTATGGTATGTATGCCTGTCCAAATTACTATTGACAAGGCAACTAACTTGTGGAAGTTTATGTTGTCATCAAAAGGGATTAACTTGTTGAGAAATGATTCCCTGAGCTTAGTAAGAGTTCTTCTGCATACTGGGAGAAGGATGAGAGCCATGTTAAACTTGAGTGCCTCAGCAGAACCCTTGGCAATGCAAACACAAAGCCCTGTGATTTGGTATGTACTTGACTCGTAGAATTCATAGAATTTCCAGTAAAAGAGGATAAAATTTATGGATATCCATATTATGATCATCCATATTCTCCTCCAGTAATCATTTATGAAATCTGATGTCATTGTCAAGTATTTGCTAATCGGAGTTCTGTATCTTTTTGGGATCATTGCTTTTGTTAGGCATTGTGTTTTCCTGCTTAGCTTGGCATTGCTGTCAGAAGTTCCCATTCCCTTTAATAGAACTTCCAACTGCCATATCTGTTCAATGGAGAAAACAAAATTTTAGATACAAGAAAATATGTAGAAAATGGCAAAAAAAGGTTTCTGACCTCTATGTACCCTAGATGATCTGGATCAAGCTCTTCCATGATCAAACTAGCATATGTTGCTGCTTGTTCCTTGAGATTTCCAAGCTTGTTTGCAGAGGCACTCAGCATTATAATCTTTTTAAATACAAATTATGAGAAATTGGATTTATATCAACATGCAAAATGAAGGAAGAAAGTGAAGGTGATAAAGAGAATGTCAAATAATGTTATGTTTTCTCACCTCTTTTACCTCTTCCTCTGATATTTTTCCATCCCCATTCTTGTCACACCTAAAAAAACACCACTTTACTCATTTCTTGAATTTTTTTCTGATGGTAAGTGCATATAATAGACACATGAGATAAGTTCTTACATATCAAAGAATACTTGAAGTCGAGAATCAAGATTTCCACTAGTTAATTCTTGCCAAAACAATTTTAGTTCATCCTTGGTAATCCCATTTTCTATGCTTATTCCCTTCCTTCTTGCTATTGCATCAAATACTTCCATGGCAAATTCCTTTGTATCACCCATCCCTATAAAAGAATCTTAAGATTACAATCTACCTTTGATTTAATTTAAATGGAAATTAAAGATTGTAATTAAACTTGTATCCAAATCCAATTGCACTTAAAAATATTATACTTTTACCTACGCTGACACCAAACTTATCTCTTGGGAGCTTCCCATTAATAACATGTTGGTTGAAACGCCTCTCAATGGATTTCCAAGCATCGTTTTCATTCCCAGTAGTTGTCTGATCAAGGAACCGCAGGCTCTGGAGCCCTTTTGCTGCAGAAGAGCTTGTCCTTTGCATCATCCTAGGAATGTTTGGTGGTCCTGCATTCCTTTTCCTAGCGCTACTCATGAGCCTCCTGAAGGATTGTATCCTAGAATTAATCCTGCTCATGGGTTGCCCTAGGGAGGAACTTGAGTTCCTTGTGAACCCAGTATTAGTGGATGAAGTACTCTGATTCCTGCTAAGAGGCACCCCAGGATATAAAGGGCCAGAAAACCTCTTGGAGGGTGGAGGTAGATCACTAGCATTTTTCTTGGCAATGTTTGTTTCGAGATCATTGTTTAGAGGTACATCTACCAATCTATCAACATAAACACCCTCAAGCATCAACTTTATTGAGTCCTCATTGCTTCTAATTGAATCCCCTGAGTCTTTCTTCGAAATCATGATTGTTTGAATTTGGCATGAAGGTTGAATGAAGATTTTTTTTTTTTTTTTGGCTCTTCACTTCTTTTGTCCCTTCTCTTTTAATATTATAGTAATTTTCTTCTACTATACTAATCATAATTTAGCTCTTTAGTAAATATTTGGTTATGTTTACTAGAAAAGTATTATATGTAAAGGTTAAAAGTTTTGTATAAAATTTTATTGAGTTTTTAATTTTTTT